AAGCAGCGTGTTTTTGCTTCTTTTTGCATCTTTTTTTTTTCTTGAGAAAGAGGCTTTCCTCTATGGAATGAATGAGATGCAATACTGCCAACAGTGGAATTTACAGTACCGTGTCATTCACCAGGTAGAGTGAGGCAGACGACAGGTACTTGATCCCCTTCATCGATGAAGCGAAGCTAATTGAAGGCGACATGCCCCGTGCAACCTTCAAGGTTTCCCCGCGAATGTGGCAGGGTACATATAGCGCCTGGCTTTATAGGCAGGTAGCCCACGTGTCAGCCTTGCTCTGCTGGTTGGCAGGCGCTTCGATCTGGAATTGGCATTGGTATTGGCCATCTCAGTGTCAACCCTGCCTTTCTCCCACCACCGAAAGTGCCCAGGATGACAAGTCCCTGCAGCAACCAGAAGCCTTCAACAAAGACAAGTCAGTCATGATAGCGGACTGACTTTAGGGCGCATTCGGTATTGGCAATCACTCATCTGCTGCCCCATCAAGATCCCCATCGTACAGCCTTGCACTTGCTTCGCCTTTCTACTCCTCCGAAATAGGCACAAACCGAAGAAGGCACTTCTGCCCCACGGGTCGCGAAGAAACCAGCTGGTCCGACATCTCCATTGACTCGGCCGTCATGGAAGGATCCGGCAGCGTTGTGTAGCGTGAGTAAACATCCTTAAGCAGAATCTTCATCTCAGCAAGGGCCAGGCTATACGCATGTCAGTGAAAAGACTTTTGTCGTCTGTTGCCTCGAGACACGTACTGTTTCCCGACACAACCTCGGCCACCGTTGGCGAACGCAAACATGAGTCGTTTTCGCTCCACGTCGCCCTCTGCGGCAGTCCATCGCTCGGGATCGAATGTCTCCGGCTCAGGGAATACCTGGCTGTTGATTGTGTGCACAGAGTACGCTTGGCAGCTGACGATGGTGCCTCCGGGCACGAAGAAGCCGTCCACAACCTTTCCGCCCTGCGGCACTCGTCGGGGAAGCGACATGGGGATGGGGGGGAAGCATCGCAAGCCTTCCTGGATCACGGCATCCAGGTAGGGCAGCTTGTCAAAGTCGGCATCTGGTTTATTACGCAGCTCCTGCTGCAGCTTCTCCTGGCAGTGCATCGACGATGGCTGCGACAGCTGCCACATGAGGAAACAAAGGCCATCGCCCGTTGTGTCGATACCGGCCGCCATGTGATCAAGACACTCTCCTGCCATGTCCGCCTGATCTAGGGTGCCGCCGCTCGCTGCCGCCTTCTCGTGCAATCGGCTGAGCAGCGTGAATGGAGACGGATCGGAGCGTTTGCTCGACTCCATCACGTAGTTGTCTGCCAATGGTGTCTCACGAGGTTTGACGAAGAAGTACAGCACGCGCGCTGCGAGCTTGTGCAACGTCGGATTGTAATGCTCAATGAGGCGGTCTACGATGATTGGTTATCTCCCCACTCAACGAACTGTCTGGCCCGGCGGACGTACTCTGCAGGCTGTCATCGGATGCCACCTGGTGCATCATTTCTTCATCGTTCTTGTCCTGCAGGCAGTTTGTGCCGTACGGGTTGAACAGATGGTGGGTGACACAATCGCATGCATATGCGTGCAGGGACATCTACAGCCGTCAGTTACCACGAGGGACATGAAACTTAGGGCACTGCCTTTCATACGAAGATGTCATGACCTCCAGTGCCCGATGAGAGACAGCGATCAAGGAACCTCCGAGACCTCTCCTGGATGCCCGACAACGGCGCCGGCTTAACAACGTTGCTGTTGGCGTACCGATCCGCAATGATCCTCTTTCGCTTGGCATGCTGAGTTGTGTTAGGAGGACATGATTCAGAGTTTAAAAAATTTCAAGCACTGACATCTTCTCTCTTCAGAGTCGTAAACATGGTCCTCCGGCCATATACCCTGAAAAGGTCGTAGAATTCAGTCTTATCATACCCGCTACCACCGGAGCCATATATCTCCTTGACAGCGTCGTACGATGTGTATGACACCTCGTCAGGTGCTACCCGCACTACCGGGCCATATTTCTGGTGTAGTTGATGAATATACTTGGTCCGACTCGCCTGGAAAGCGTGCCACTTCAGGACGAGACCGGTGAAGACGGTATACCAGGGACCGGGGATCTTTCGGAGAGGGGACGTGAGGCACTGGGCGAGATAGACAAGGAAGAGTGCGCCGCCAGCAGACAGCAGCAGAACTGGTGATAGGAGCGTCATGATGATAGTTTGGTAAGAGATGCTTAAGAGAAGAGAGGAAACAAAGATGCTTGACTCATATCATGGGACTTATACCTCGGGCCTGGCTCTTATCTGGGTTGAGGGGGATGGGGATAATTGTTAGGTAACGGAAAGATAGGCACAGGGAGCCAAGTCAATTGACACAGGCGCAGCAGTAGTATAACCATTACCTTGGAACCAGTCTTGATGTTGCTATTTGAAATATTTCAGAAAGACCAGCACAAGAATTAATTACAGCCCACATGTCCTACAGTCGATACCTATCAAAAAGAATACTCTTTGAATAAACCTGGCCGTTCCTGTTCGAGGTCGCATGCCGCACCGACATGATCAGGATGCTGAAGGGCGCACCCGGACACGGCTGATCTACTAGACCGTTCGAGGAAACTTCGGGACCTGGATCCGAGTCACGAGGCGAGTCGGTGTTTGTCGATGGAAGACGATGTTGACGAGTTTCGATCAGTCAGGGCCTTTACCGGGCAAGGACCGGCCCACCGGGAAAGGCCAATGGCACCCAGGACAATATCGGAGCTCAGGGAGCCAACTGGGTGGGTTGGTTGGTGGCAGCCGGGTGGCAGCCGGTGTCAGACCCAGTCCGATTTACCCCTCCACCTCGACTCCTCCCGACATTGCCCTGAGGTAGGCTGTAACAGCGAGTGCCCCGCCATAGCTGCAGCGCGTGCGGAAAGCATGAGCTGACCCTCAACCATCCTACCTTTCCGCTGAGGCTTTTCTCCATCTTTGATCTTGCCTTTCACTCTACCAGCCTGCGTTATTTACACTTTTATCCCAAAAGCTCAGCATCAGTTCTGCCTCGAGCAACTCGCATCATTTCCCTCTAATCAACAAACGCACCAATTGCCCACCATGGCTCGCAAGTTCTTCGTTGGCGGTAACTTCAAGATGTGAGTGCGGGGCTCAACCCTGGAAGGGAAAACCATCTGCCGATGCGGGAAGCAAGGAACTAATGGCGCGATCCCTGCGCGCTCCAGGAACGGCACGACGTCGTCCATCAAGGAGATCGTCAAGAACCTCAACGAGGCCAAGCTCGACGCCAACACCGAGGTCGTCATCGCCCCGCCCGCGCTCTACCTGCCCCTCGTCCGCTCCGAGCTCCGCCAGGGCCTCGAGGTCGCCGCCCAGAACGTTTTTGACAAGCCCAACGGCGCCTTCACTGGCGAGATCAGCGTCGCCCAGCTCAAGGACATCGACATCAAGTGGACCATCCTCGGCCACTCGGAGCGCCGCACCATCCTCCGCGAGTCGGACGAGGTCGTTGCCTCCAAGACCAAGTACGCCACCGAGGAGGGCGTCAGCGTCATCTGGTGCTGCGGCGAGAGCCTCGAGGAGCGCGAGGCCGGCACCACCGTCGACGTCGTCAGCAAGCAGCTCGCCGCCCTCAAGGCCAAGATCTCCGACTGGTCCAAGGTTGTCATTGCCTACGAGCCCATCTGGGCCATTGGCACCGGCAAGGTCGCGACCACCGAGCAGGCCCAGGAGGTCCACGCCGCCATCCGCGCCTGGCTCAAGAAGGAGGTCAGCGACAAGGTCGCCGACGAGACCCGCATCCTGTACGGCGGCAGCGTTAGCGAGAAGAACTGCAAGGACCTCGCCAAGGAGGCCGACATTGACGGTTTCCTCGTTGGCGGCGCGAGCCTGAAGCCTGCCTGTACGTTGACGCCTTGTCCCCCTTTTTGATGCAAAGAGTGAAAAGCTGACTTTTGATCTAGTTGTCGAGATCATCAACAGCAAGCAGTAAGCGTTTTGACGCCTCGATGGAGGGGGAAATCTTGGAGACGAAGGCATGAAAGATGGAGCAAACCTAGCACTCTTCCTAGCCTGGATATGATAGCCAAAAGAAAAAAAAAAGAAACAGTACTTATACCCCAAAACTGTTTTGATCTATGCGCTCTCACACAAGCAAACTTCGACTTCATGGTTGTTCGTGGTTGAATTCTCTCAAGGGGTATATCGCCCCCCTATTTGGCGTGCTAGTGTACAAGCAGCAATCGGAGACGCCGCACTCCGGTGATGCCAATCCAATGTTCCCGCTCTTCCTATGCGTACAAGTTACAGCTTTTCCTCTTGCTCATTCCTCTGGTAGCAGCTCTCTGCAGCTCTACACCGCCTCGCCGTTGCCGTGGTAGGGACTCCAGATACCCCTGACACTGGGATTGATACTGGTGACGGGCTTGTTGGCTCTCCGCAGCTTCTCGCCGTTGGTGTCGCGCATGGACTCGGCAGCCCTGAGAATTTCCATGGGCTGCATGTTCTTGACGAGGAGGGATCGCGAGTTGCCGTTGATGTAGTGGCCGACGATGGTAGGGTGTTTCGCAGGTCGTGGGGAGACGGAGATCTCGATCTGGGGGTGTGCGGCGGCGAATTTGGGGAGCTGAGACTTGATGAAGCCGCTGGATTTGTGGTCAGCATCGTGCTGTTGGATCGCGAGACCGAGGGATCCCGTCAACATACTTCATGCCCTTGGAGCTTCCGGCCCAATCGCAAAAGTGGAATTCGAGCTTCTTGCACTGCAAGATGAAGGCGCCGAGGCCGTTCTGTGAGACGTCAGTGGGGTGATTCGCTGGTAGCGATGTCGCGCATGAGAACCTACCTGGCCCTGTGACACTGTCTTCAATGCCTTGATCGTCATTGTGTTCTGCCGGGCGTAGTGAAGCACGGGGTATGCGATTCGTCTCGTCCTAGGGGATCTTCAGCATCCGTCGAGACTCGCGTGAGATTTCTTAGCGTGCTGCTGATCGGTAGAACATCGGCGCAGGCTGGGGGTGTCGCGACCCGCAATGATGGTATGTGCGGCGGCTGCATATGCAGATAACAGGAGCAGGACGGTTCATACCTGCGGGCTTGAAGTGACCTGCAGCGGCTTCTCGACAGCTAAATTGGCCTCCTAAACAGTGGAGCTTTGCCGACACGATCGATCTCTGCCGTCTCGACTGCTGCCTTTGAATTTGCAGCACGACGCGACGACTAAAAGTCCCATCACCCCCTCCGCGACCAACTCGTCTAGCTGGGACTCGTCATCGCGCACACGCGCATCTCTCTTCGATTTCATTCATTTCTTGACCTTCTTTTCCTGCCGTACTATGCTCGCCGCCTGTCAACATGACAGACAAGCTCCCACCCAACCTGCTTGCGCTGTTCGCGCCGCGCCCTCCCCTGCGATGGGTTCCGCCCCCCGACCATGCGCCTGAGCAACGACGAACTGCTCCCGTCTCGGGCATCGCTGCCTTCCTCCCTGCGCTCGCCGAATACAAAGACAAGGATGGCTACGTTCCTACGGAGAGCTGGCTGCAGATGAAAGATCGCAAGAAGCAGGAGCACAAGGCCAAGCTCGAACGGCTCGCGGCCGAAGGCCCTGTTGATTGTGAGTCCAGCCTTCCCATAGCTAGGAACATGTGTAAAGGTGCACATTGCTGACATGAGTGCCAACAGACAAGCCGAATGAAGACCCCAACATTCGCGGTGACGCCTTCAAGACGCTCATTGTCGCAAGGCTGTCCTACGAGGCCAACGAACAAGACCTCGAGCGAGAGTTTGGTCGTTTCGGCAACATTGAGCGCGTGCGTACTGCGCCTTGACTTGAATTGTACCTCTTGCTAACAGATGGCCAGATTCGCATCATCACTGACACGCACGCCCATGAAAAATCCAAGAACAAGAAGAAGAAGCCCCATCGAGGATATGCTTTCGTCGTTTTCGAGCGCGAGAGAGATATGAGAGGTAATATTGCCATTGCAACATATTCAGCCCATGACGAGGCTCGGCCTCATCCGGCCCCCTTTCCCACAAAAAGACACACGGCCCTCAGGCTCGCCTGCGTCTTCTTTTCCCTCCCTCGAGACTCCCATAGGCCCTCAAGCTTGCCTCGTCTCCCATCATGTTTTCCTACTGTTCTCTCTTGTCTTCCTCTCACCATCCGCGCAAAGGTATGCTGAAGGTAAAGTTGACTGACACAAGCGCTTCGGCGCGCCGGTGAGTAGCTGCTCTAGATTCCTGCGATGGAATTCGAATCAAGGATCGACGTATCAAGGTAGACGTCGAACGCGGCCGCACAGTCAAGGGTTGGAAGCCCCGCCGCTTCGGCGGTGGCCTCGGCGGCCGAGGCTACACGAAGGCCCTCCCTGCTAGACCCATGGGCGGGCCAGGTGGCTTCGGTGGAGGAGGCTTCAGGGGCGGATTCCGAGGTGGCTTTGACGGCGGTCGCGGTCGTGGAGGATTCCGCGGCGGCTTTGGTGGCCGCGGCGGTGGTTTCCGTGGCGGAGGTGACTTTGGTGGCGGCCGTGACCGCGGCGGTCCTGGCGGCCCCGGCGGTCCAAATGGTTTCCCCCGTGATGCTCCCCAAGGCCCTGGCCGTGGCGGCTTCGGAGACCGTGATCGCGGTTTCTCCAATGGTGGTGGGTTCGACCGTGGCAGCGGTCGTTCGTTCGACGACCGATCTGGCGGTGGCCCGCGTGATCGTTATGGTGACCGAGACCGCGACAGTCGACGCACAGGCAGCAACATGGAGCCCGTTCGGCCCAGAGGTGAGGGCGGCTACCGTGACCGCGACAACAGAGACAGCAGGGACAACAGGGACAGCAGGGACAGCAGGGACAACAGGGACAACAGGGATAGCAGGGACGGCAGAGACGGCAGAGACCGAGACTACGACCGCCCGCGCGACGACGATAACAGGAAACGCGGATACGACGGCGGTGGCTACGAGGACCCACGCAAGCTTCGTCGCTACTAATCAGACACTTACGGCCCCCATGGATGTCGCGACTCTGCGGTGGGTGCCAGCTCTTCGCCTGCTCACTTCTGTAACCAGAACAGTTTTGGTCGGGGCTCACGCCGCACACACGACATACGCTGAGCCACCACCTGCTCCGTCCGCCGTTCATTACCACTCTCCTCCTGTTGTCCTTGCCTGCGAGCAAGGACTACCGCCTAATGTCACGGTCCTGCACCCGCGTCATTCGTTAGGGAGGTATCATTTCTGTCTGTATTTACTAGGTACACTTGATCACGAGGTAGTCACCGAGACTACCAACGATTATCGCTCAGCGCCTCCGGCCCGCAGCAGGTAAGATCAGAGGTAAGGGTCTTCGTGCCTACTGATCTGGAGTTTCAGCGAAGGAGACGAGGAGGGGTAACAACAGAGAAAAGTCATCGACGCAGAGCCCTCGACACGGCCTGATTTTGTTTTGTACGAGTAGTGAACCTCAATTCAGCCGACACGGCTTCTTTAGCTCATTCTTCGGACCGGGGGCCGACAGTCCTAGTCCGTGATCCCCGCCCCCTCACCCCTCGCTAGATGTGAGGGCGACACATAGTTTTTCGTGTGTACGATTTCCCTACTGTCGTGACAACGAAGGTGATGTTGCAAATTTCTGTTTTTACCAACCAACGCCATAACTCCACAGTTCGTCATGATGGTATCGCTTTCCACACGTACGACCACTCGTAACCTTTTACGCAAATGCTGCTGAACATTCCTCTCTTTTCGCATGAGACCCTTTCCAGTTTACTCCTCCATGGCGGTGGCCTTCTTCAGGTCCGTCACCTCGCCCGTCGCGGCACTCCAGTACCTGTGCAAAGGTTAGCCGCTGCAGCATAGCGAGAGATGCTGGTGTGCCGTTCTCGTGACACAAGAGGGTGCAATGGTACGTACGCGATCAGCTCGACGTGGAACTCGCTCATGCAGATGCCAAACAGCTTCAGGAGCCTCGTCTGCCGAGAGTCGAGGACGTCGCCCTCCTTGCAGACGACGTAGCCGGGGGCCGCGTCCTCGGCGGGCTCCTCCTCGCCCAGGACGATGCGGCCGCGGACCATGCGCGTGGGCATGCCGAGGCGGCGCAGCTCGGGCTCGATCGAGTGCTCCATGGGCACGTCGTGCTCGCGGGGCACCTCACCGCCGGTGGCGAAGAGGACGCCCTGGGGAATGGCGAACTCGCGGGGCGCCGTGGTGCCAGCGCGCGCAAAGTCGACGGGCGAGAGACCTTCGAAGTAGGCCGTGATGGCCGAGGGGTCGCGGTTCGTCAGGAGGAGGCCGACGGTGCCGCTGAGGTGCGGCGTCAGGCGGTCGGTGCCGTCGAGGAGGGCGGTTTCGCGCGTCTGGCCGAGGGCCTTCGACATGAGCTTCGTCTTGCCGAAGAAGAGGCTGCGGGTGGGGGGGAATGTTAGTTAGTCTTGGAGGTTGAACATATGATGGGTAAGGGGCGTGGACGAAACGCACCGGCAGTCGGAGAGTTCGTGGCGGACGTCCTTGAGGTGATTGTTGCGCATGTTATCGACGCTGAAGACGAAGCAGTGCTGGTACTGGGGGACTGCCTCGCGAATGTTGGCGAAGAGCTTGTCCTTGTCCTCGCGCGTCTTCTTGGACACCTGCGTCATGTTGATGAGGCGGTTGCGCTTGGACTTGGGCATTTTGGGCAACGGTTGTTTGGTAAACTTTTGGGATCCGTTCTAGTTCGTTTGCGCAAAAGGCTGCTGAAAGATCGAAGTTCGAGATCGGAGGTGGGGAGGGGGGGAAGCGGTCGAACAGTCGCTGCTCGTGGGCTACGTTGGGGGACGAGATTTGCGGTCGAATTTCCTTATCTTTTATCGGTGAACGAACGGGTCGGCTTCAAATTTTTGGGAGTTCTTGTCCAACTTTTTTTTAGGACCCCGCGTTGGCAGGCGGAACGATTTTCCGGGGCAGGGTCCAGGTGGAGCCTCCCAGGTGCCTAAGTATCTCGTTGTGCTGTGGGCACCAAGGAGCTCAACTCAGCCTGGTGCCCCAGCGAGATGGGAATTGATTGTGCCATGCCGGCTGTATCACGCATGTTACAGGCAGGGTTTATTATCAAGACCGAACCCTCAAGTTTGGGCAGCCGTCTACCATTTCCAGGGGCAAAGACCGCCGCCTTCTGACGAGAAATTAACCCTCACAGTTCCCTCACCCTGATATCTATTTGTAGCGTGTGCGATCACGAGATGTAGGTATACATGTTTCCGTCGCGCTCCATGTAATCCTTATCTATCAGCCTGCAAAGAGTCAGTACGCGAAGCAAACAACTGACGGATTCGTGATACGTACGTCTCTATGAGCTTCTTGATGGAGGCGGCGTCAACGGGACCACGCTTGCGAGTAAAGTTGATCACTTCAGCCACCAGCTCGCTGTGCCCGATCGTCTTGCGCGCCTTCATCACCCGCACAATGGCCGCCTGCGTCTCGAACTTACGGTCCTCTGCAATGCGCTCATGTGTCGCCTTATTCTCCTCCTTCGTCTCCTTGAGCTGAATCTGATTGATCTTTATCCGAAGTTTGGGATCAGTGAAGGCCTTGTTGATGGTAAAGGTATCAGTCTCGCTGACATCCCTTCCCTTGGGGTGCTTGCTCAAAACTCTGACCTTGCCACAGGCCAGCGATTGTAGCGTCCGCTGTAGTTCCGGACCCGCAAGTCCCGTAGCTGTGCTGATCTGTCCGAAGCTGAGGAAGCCCTCAAGATCGACCTCGTTGAACAGCACAAGCACAACGGCCTGGAACGCACTGACCAGGAGTTCTTTCGTGCCTCTCGGGAAGATGGCTTTGACCGTACAGTTGGCCAGCGAATGGGGCCACGAGAGTTTTCTGCCGTCATGCTTCTGGTTGTACCACCGCTCAAACCGTTCGATCTCGACGGCGGCACCTTCAGGCAGATTGAGCTTCGTGTCGGGATATGTCGGCCAAGAAGCTGCGGAGATGACCATGACTTGAAGGTCGACTTGTTGTTCGGCATTCGTGCCTTCTGACCATTGCTTGTAGTGCTGCATCTCCTCCTTGGCGAGCTCCTGATCTTTGAACATCTGCTCAAGATTACGCGTAAAGTTGGCACCGCACTCGTCTCGGAGCTTTCGAAGCATGTTTCTCTCGGCATCTTCGCTCGCACTTCGGCCCATGAGCAGCCGCCTGGCCAGATCTTTCTTGTAAAAAGCTTCAAAGGCGTCCTTGCCTTCAATGAACCTGAAAAGCTCAAGGGCAGCATCAAGCTGGCGATCCAGCTCGGCATCCTCGTCAGCCGTACTTGATTGCCCACTCTTTTCGGCAGCAGCCCGATCCTTGTTGTCAGACAACAGACTCTTGGGAAGAGCCTTGAGACCGCCTCGCAAGAGCATGTCAATGTGTTTCGCGATCATCTCTCCAATCTTGGACGTTCCCGTGCTCCATCCCGAAGTCGTTTTCCGGTCGTTCATGAAAGCGCCGAAGGCATGCCTCAGCTCGTAGCCAAAGACTTCATCACCTCTGAAACCATCTCGCACGACGAGATCCAGAGCTCGCCTCAGCTCAAGCAACCTCATGACCATGTCGTCTCCTCTCTCTACGTCACCCACAATCGTCGCTCCGGCCTCCTGGATGTAGGTTTTCCACGGGTCCTTGAGCTTCGCCTGGATCCCCGACAATCGCAGGAGGTCGTAGAGAGCTCGCATCGACTCAATTTCCTGATCAGCAAGCAGCTTCGACAAGCTTTCGACATTCAGAAGCTTAGCCGAGTAGTCCTTCACCACGATGCCGTGGGCGGCATCGAGAAGTTGCTTCTTGGTCGTGCTGTCAAGATTGTACGCGTTACATCGATAGTCCTCATCCTTCAGAAGCTTTTCGCATGCAAGAATGTACTCCTTCAGACTTGCTGTGCTCATCTCATCTGCAAATTCGTGGAAGAAGTTGACCGAGTCGTGGAGAAACGCCGGCTCAAACGACTTTTGGTAAACGTTGAGCACGTTGAACATACGGACTGATTCTTTCAGTAATCGAGCGTCGAATCGATCGTCATTCACTCGATCGTACGCGATCAGCTCGCACACGCCGTGGAGACATCGAGTAAAAGGTGTCTGGTTGGTAGCGTCCTTGCTGGCCGAAGACGAGAGCATCTTCCGGAACTGCGTGATCGTCAAGTCGTTGATTGAGCCCAGCGTCCTCTCTCGAAGAAGGTACGTCCTGTCGAGGTAGCTGAATATAGACCGAATATCTATCTGGAATGATGTGTTAGCACTGGCTCATGAGAAGAACGAACGCAAGTGGCACTCACAACTGCCTTGTTCCAATCCTGCCAATGAAGAAAGACGCTCCGCAACATGTCAATATTTGAGGGGCCTGGCGACCTGTCGATGATGGACCGCAAGGTTGCTTGCTTCAAGTGAGCTTCGCATAGCTCTTGTAGCGTGCGATATAGTTCCTGCCCCTGCCCATGCCTGCAGATGTCCTCCGCACCCCTGTACAGCCTCTCCATTGGCAGTTGGAGAGGCTGGTGACGAAGTATGCACTGAAGGGCATCCTTGAGCTGCTGCCGTGTCCGATCGTAATACTGCTCGGTCTTGTCGGTCTGCGTGGGTGGCCTGAGGTTCTTGATCACGATCTTTTTGGCGCCCGAGTATGGCCGGAAGGCGCTCTGCCGTGTCAGGTCAATCACTTCAGGGAGCTTCCCCTTCGTCTTGTTAGACATGGTCGTCATGGAAGCGGTGTCGGCTCCAAACTTGAAGCGCTTTGGGCTTGGCTTTTCTGAAAAGGCCGAAGACGGAAGGTATTGGTTTTGTTGCACAAGATGCGGTGTGGAGGGGGACGCGTGCACGTCAGAGTCGACGCGGGGTCGCCGCCTCGATGGGCTGCTAATGCTGGCGTCGCCCAGTGCAGCCGATGAGCTTGGGCTTGTGCGAAGACCCGAGCTTACCGAGCCTGTGGCTCGCGATGGCAGTTTTCCGTCGGCCGGGTGGTTCGGGTTCGACGGCATCGACAGGACCGGGAGGCCCTGCAACAACTTGAAGTAAGCTGTTACGCAGCCTGAGGTGTCCGAGTTACAGCGTCGTCCTGTTCGTGCGGCAATGCGGTGAACGGCGTCTTTGGAAAGGGGCTAATGAAGTGGCTCGCCAAGCTGGTGTCGTGGAAGTTCGTCAATTATCTTTGTCGAGAAACACGCTGGAGAAAATGGGAGCAGTTGAGGTGGGTTTGCTTCACGGAGTTAAGACACGGAGAGGAGACGGGCAGCAACGGGGTGGATTGAGGCGAGAGCTGCCCGCAACGACGACATCATCCACTTTACGCGCTTCCTATCGCGGTTCCTCGGTAGATAAGGTGTGCTGACATAATCATTCGATGGCCTTCTTAGCTGTCACCCGACAAATGGCCTCGGCCGGTAGATACAGGAAGTCATTTTCCTCATAACGCTTACCTTGGATATGGGAAGTGAATTGGAACGAACTGTCAGAGTTCGCTTGATAAGTCAATCGCATGTGTGTATCGTCTATGCATAGGCCGCCCAACCCGAGTATAGTACAGCCAGATTCCGCTCATCCGTGGCCTGGTTAATCAGATCGTTGACCGTAGCCGTGACACTTAATGTCTTTGAAAGCTTCTTGCGCACCACTTCCAGCGCCCTGTCTGCCTCCGACGGCTCATTCACCCTCGTCTTTCCCCTTCCAGCCACGTCGTCGTCCCCGTCCCCGCTGCCACCCTGCAACTTCGCCAAACGTACCGGTGATATAGACCAGGAGTACAGAGGATCGTACCGCAGAACATCAAGGATGGTCATGATACTGTACGTCTCCTCCCTTAGCGCATCGAGCGTGAACTCGCAACAACGCTGAAAGACACCCTCTTTGGTGACGCCCATACCATCTTCAATGTCCCTCGTCAGTCTGAACGGTACCAACTCGGGCACCGGCAGCACGCGACCCATCTCAAACGCAACACCCAGATCAATGTGAACCACCTCGCCTGTCTTGTTGTCCAGCAGAATGTTGTGCCCGTGCCGGTCGCCTAGGCCAAGAATGTGTCCCAGCATCGAGATCGCGGCGGTGGTTCGCGTGTAGGCAGTTCGCTTGACGAACCACTCATCGGGGTCTACAAAGTATTCCATAAAGAAGTACTTCATGACAGGATGAAAACGTTCCTTGACTTTGCGGTAGGCACTGACCCTCGCATCCACAGATTTGCCTTGCACCGCAGAAATCTCCTTTCTGCATTGACTTCCCTTGAGGTCTTTTGGATAATACCGCTCATGGGCAGGCATGAGGAATTCATGAAGCGGGATGGTATTCGGGACGAACTCGATGAGGCCTGAAGCCGAGGTCAGAGGCAAGACCTTGTATGTGCGAATGCCCAAATTGCGCCGCTGGGTCTCGCGATGCAGCTTGAGCAAAGATGATACGGCAGCAAACACCTGCTCCATGATGGCATCTTGGCGGAGGTCGTCGTTGCCTCCCTTGACCAATTGCTTGTATCGCACGCCATCCGTGCCAACTGCGGTGATGATCTTTGGAGCGCTTACCCCCGACGCAATCGACATCTGCGGCTCGAGCTTCGCAATGATTGGGACCTTGGAGTAGTCCTTGTCCGCGGACAGTTCGAGCTGCATCGTCGGTGGCGGGATTTGGTACTTATTCAGAGCAGCCACGAGGTAGTTGCCCGAAGTCGTCTCCTTGAGGTTGATCTTGTGCCCTGCTTTGTACTTTGGGTTGTCGCGGTCAACCGCCAGTCGGTGATAGTGCCCGTTTGTTCTGTCAATGGCATGCCAGATTGCGCCCTGCGTAGGGTGTTTCTCTAGTTGATCTTTGACTTTGTTCGTTGCCTTATGTCGCAGTACTGCCACCTCGTCTTTGCTATTTGCTTTAACCTTGACGCCAGACCAGACCTGATACATGCTGTGGTATGGGTGATCTATACATATGTTATAGACAAGGTTGATCAAAAGCCTCTGAAACACGTTTGACTGGTCCTGTAGACGAGAGCATAGCTGGTTCATGAGGGTTGCAAATTTTCGTGTGGGAACCTTGTCGAGGTGTCTCCGAACGGCGTCGTTGGTGGAATCGTCGTCCGATCTTTCAAGCCACAGGGCCGTGAAGCGCAGTGCATCGTTGTTGTGTTCGTCGGATGCGATGAGAGAGAGGAGATAGTTCTCTAGACTCAGGCGCACGAATTCGCTCCTCGTCTGCTCTACCCTGCGAAGCTCCTGCTCGTCGAGATGCAACCACTGTTGCGCTCTGGTGAGGTGGGATGAGTATCTGGATTTCGTCTGCGAATTCTTTTCACTGGAAATCAAAGACCGCAACTGTGCAACTTCGTCGCTTTTGCCCTTCCTCAGATTCTGTAATCTTGCCAAATCATCAAGCCCATCGGAGTTTTGCAGTTGTTCATCACAAAACATGGCGAATTGGTGAAAGACCTTGCCCGCATCCTTGCCGTCGGTGCGTCCCTTCAACTCCTTCAAGGCAGGCTCAAGATACTTCTTCTGGATGTCATGTGGCTTCTCCAATTTGGCTACCGAAATTTGGTAGCCTATTTTGGACAGCAGATCAGAACGACTGACCGGGATACTCTGTTTCTTGAATACAGAGTCGTTGTCGATGCTTTGCAGCATCCTGATCGACGAGACCATTTCGCCGTGATCCCAGAGTGAGTTGGCTGACTCTATCTTGGCGGCTGCATCAAAACTGAGTCCCAAATCTTCGCTCGGCACTATCAAATTCGTTAAAGATGTTGATATGTTGAGTGATTCCTGCGTAGCGCGATGGAAACGGTAGATGCCAGATGATGTGAGCTTGCAGCGGACTTCGATTTGTCGTGCTTGGCTTGTAGAAAGATTGGCTGCCGCTCGCAATTTGGGCTGTTGGCTCAGCAAGCTCAACGTGGTACCACGCGACGACAGGAGCTGACTGACATCGTCATACCTGATGCGGTCAGTGGGTGCTCTTCAATCAAACAATTCCATGATACATACCTCCCTCGCTTCATCCATTCGCCATGGTTTTCGAAACGGTCAAGTAGAGCCTCAAGCTCTCCAAAGTCTGCGACATTGACAACGTCATCGAGTTCGGTCAATACAGCAAGAGCCCCAAGATGATGCCTCAAGTTGGCAGCATTCAGGCCGCGACTGGTCAAACTGGCCATTGTTCGTCCAAAACCATCGTAAATCGCCTGCCGTATTGCCGAAGAGTCATTGGCTTGGTGGATGCTTTGAAATGCCTTGTAGACGGAGACCGCATGGTTCTCACTCGAATTTGGTGCTGGCAGATTCCAGATTTCCAGCCTTCTGGCGGTGCCAAAGGTGCTTTCGAGCGCGTTGGTGTTTTCGACGAGACTTTGGGTTTGCAAAAGAGCATGCGAGAGACCTGATAAGCCCAGTGTACTCAGAGCCTTGACCATTGACAGGCCATCGTTCTGCGAGGCTGGACTTTTGGACTGGATGTGGCTATCGAACTGGGCTCCGCGGAAGGCTAGGCTCTTGAACCCGTCATTTTCGTATTCCAAACGCGCCATCACGTTCGATAGACTGGATGTCTGCGGCAAGCCGTAGTAAGCGTCGGGATCATCAATGTTTTCAAAGATACTGAGTAACACACTGGGTGTATGGGACTCCCTGAGAGCGGATGACCTGCGTGATGCTCGGGTGACTTGGGAAGCTGCTACCTCAAAGAATAGGAGAGCAGTTTTGTGCATCCCGCACCTTGATGCGGCACCAGCGGCGGAAGAGAAGTCAACATCTAGCCAACCGGCGCGGTCCGCAATGGAAGACTCATTTGGCAATGGTTGTGTTCGGAGATAGAGCAGAGCGTTGAGTAGGTGCTTCTGATTGTGATGAGATGACTCGCTGGAGACTGAGAGCCATTCCTTCAAGGCGTCAGAAAGGTGTTTTCTGGCACTTTGCTGCTTTTCCATTTGGCCACAGAGGGCTAAGTGGAGGATAAAAGGGAGGGCCTTCTCAGCGAAGCCTTTGACGTGTGTCAAAATAGGCAATAGTTCGCTCAAAATGATGAACTCGGGGACAGCCTGGACCAGATACGTGACCAATTTTCGGATCCAACCTGCGTCCTCTATGTCTTCCATAGTGAAAGAAAAGTCATTTTGTTGCACTAGTTGCGAAGCAGTGTCTGATGGCGGCGTTCGATAAGGTTGCCAGGTTGAGGCAAGATACAAGGGCTCGGGCAGTGTCTTCTGGGCAGCGGTGGTCAAAAGCTCATCCTCCTCTGCTGCAGCTTCCGAAACCACAGCCCTCAAAGCAGACTCTGCCAGCCCTGCGGTGAATGATTCTTTGCTCACTGTGAGCTGCTGTAACAGAGTAAAAAGCCCTCGCTCTGAGCCATTAGCTCCAGGAGCTAGCTTGAGGCTGCTCGACAGCTGCGATTCGCGGAGCAGTTCTGGCTCAATCTCTCCAGAGGCAGCGAAAGCTCTGCCGACGACACGTCCAGCCCATGCTAGGTATTCGTTGCTGAGAGCCTGGGTTTTACAGCTCTTCAAAACTAGGCCGCCGTGGTGGAGAGCTTTTTCGTCATCGCTAATGACATCGTATCTTGCAGATGGCGGAATGACGAAGTCCCCACAGAGCAGACCAAGGGCAAGATCTCGGGCAGCCTCGTTCAGGAGTTTCTGCTCACGATCATCATCTTTCAGGATTTCCAGAAGAAGTGTGCTTTCGTGAGTGCCGCTCTCCGCATTGCCAGACGTTCGGAT